TCTCTCTCTCTCTCTCTCTCTCTGTGTGTGTGTGTGTGTGTGTGTGTGTGTGTGTGTGTGTGTGTGTGTCCTGTCTTCTTTCTCCATTCCTCCCGTCTCAATTCCATCATTTGTGCCCTTCATGCCCCCTCCCAATCTTTACCCCACCGATCCGCTTTCCTCATCCTCTTCTCTCCTCTATCTGTCTGCCACCTCCCTCTTCCCGTCTTTCTTCACACGTTTCTGTCCTCTGTTGAGACCCTCTTTGAGCTCCTACTCCTCTAATACTCAATGTGGCCCTTGCGGATCTGGTAGGTCCTTTCCTCTCTTCCTGTCTGTCACTCTCTCTCTTCATTGCTGTCCGCTATCGCCTGCATATCCACATTTACCCTATCCCTCTCGTGATTCCATCCCTTCGTCATTATCCTGCGCTGTCCTTTCCTTACAACCCGCTCCCCTACCTCTGCGCTGAGCCCCTCTTCCTGTCTTGCGATCTCTTCTTCCCCGCCTTGTCAGTATCCCCCTACACGACCTGCACTCCTCAACCTGTTGCCTTGGCATTCTTGCCCCTGCACTTCAGTCCTTCCTACATCCTCACCCTGATTGGCTGCCATTCTGACCTTCTCCTCCTCTCTATCCCACATCATCCTGATCGACCCCCTCGGCTCCTTTCCCAATCCGCACCGGCCATCCCCTTCTTCAAAATTCGGGTCCCCGACCTAAGTCCTCCTCCCATTTACTTACGGGTCCTCCTTGATTTCTTCCCCCCCCACACAACCTCCTGGTCACCCTTCTCTCTATCCCACATTATCCTGATCGACCCCCCCGGCTCGTTTCCCAATCCGCACTGGCCATCCCCTTCTTCAAAATCCGGGTCCCCGACCTAAATCCTCCTCCCATTTACTTACGGGTCCTCCTTGATTTCTTTCCCCCCACACAACCTCCTGGTTACCCTTCTCTCTCTATCCCACATCATCCTGATCGACGCCCCCGCTCCTTTTCCAATCCACACTGGCCATCCCCTCCTTCAAAATTTGGGTCCCCAACCTACATCCTCCTCCCATTTACTGATAGGTCCTCCTCGATTTCTTCCCCCTCCACAACCTCCTGGATGCTGGCAATCTTACCTTGGCGGTGCACCCTATTCGTTTGTCCCCGCATGCCCTGTCTTGGTCACACTGCACCCTATTTGTATTTGTCTTTCACTTCCTCCCTATCACCTGATGGAAAGGACCGAAAATCAGAAGGTCAGCCATAAGCCTGATGTGGAGGGAACAGGGTGATGACATGGTTCATTTGGGCCACAACGCCTCTCTCTCTCTCTCTCTCTCTCTCTCTCTCTCTCTCTCTCTCTCTCTCTCTCTCTCTCTCTCTCTCTCTCTCTC